CACGCACGCACCCACGCACACCCTCACGACTTGTGCGCTGCAGCGAGGGACGCGCAATTCCCGGCACTGCGTCACGTCGAGTCGAGACGTGCGTGCATATATGCTGCGTCTTCCCTGAGGGCAACAGCCTACAGGCCTTCTCTCAGCAGCGCTTCGGGCCTCAGACGACTGCAGTCACGAGCAGCTGCACAGCAGGCGATTGCCGTCGTGATGCAGGGTATCAGAACGAGATGCATAAAGGAAAACTCTGCGCGCGCAACCGTCTGGGAAGCCGTCAACACTGTGACTCGCATTTCGCCCCTCGACAGAGCCAAGCATCAAGATTCACGACTCGCCATCCATCCATGCGCATGCAGCCTTGCCTTGCACCCCTCTGACTACGACTGCAAGTGCGACTGCACCGAAAGCGTCATTCGTCATCCTACCGTTGGAAGGGCAGTTACCGTGTTGCTATAATCAACCACCACTGCCAGCCTCACTCTTCACTCCTGGCACCACCCTCTCCACCATCTTCACCCCCTCGCTCCTGGACTCGCACTTGACAATGTCATGGCCACAAGTCACCGCAATCCCTCGAGTGGCCTTTGAGCCGCTCGAAGAAAGGGAACCACAGTTCGATCTGCCGAGCATCATCAGCAACATTTTTAATCCTGTGAGTGTCGCTCTCTCTTTCCTGGCTTGAATCGCCGCTACGCTTTCTTTCGTCCTTAGAATGAGCTTCACGCTCATTCCTCATGCTTGCCTGGCCTTCACATGTCGCGTGCGATGAAAGGGCGATGACTCATCTTCCTCTTCTCAATCCTCTACGCGCGACACGTCTACTCGCTCGCAGGGTGGAGATGACACGTCCACATCGCAGACGTCCTCGACATCCACCTCCTCCACCGAATCCACCTCTTCGACGTCGCAGTCCACGCAGTCTACTTCATGTGAGTATGTCGCCCCCGCCCTCATGCTCTCTTTCTCTTCTCTGTGAACCCATCGGGTTTGCACTTTCGTTTCGCGTGCTAAAGGCTCCCATTTGCGCATCGGATCCCACACCCATTTCATGTAACCATGACTGACGCTTACCGCAGCATCGTCCACCTACGACTCTCAAACGTCCTCCTCATACACCTCGCCGTCTTCAACGTACTCGGAAACCTCATCTTCACGAACGCGCACTGGCACTGCAGCATCATCGACTAGAGAAACGACATCGTCGTCCAGCTCCTCTCGAACAAGGGAGACCAGCACCAGACCGACGTCTACCTACCAGCCACCGACCACGAGGACGACGTCGACTGCCAGCGTATACACGTCGCAATTCACATCTGGCGGCTCCACCGTCGTTCAGACCCTCACTTCGACTATTGCTCTCGTCGAGACCTTGGCACCCGATCCCAACGCTCAGCAAAACACATCCTCGGGCGGTGGATCCGGCAACGGCGGCGTTGTTGGTGGTGTGGTAGGCGGTGTCATCGGTGGTCTGGCAGCTCTGGTCGCTCTCGTTCTCCTCGGCATCCTTTTGAAACGTCGACGCGATCGTACTGGCCACGCATACTTTTTGTGCCTTGGTACTAAACCCAACAGACACCTCGATGGCGGCGACGGAGACTGGCCAACCTTTGACCCCAACTCTTCAAGCCTCGCAAGTGCAACCGGCGTTGGAGCGGCCGGGGCAGCGTTTGGTGCTGGCTCAAAGCGTGGTCGCCCAGCGACTCCTGGCGGTACTTTGCCGCAAGGTTTCGACGATCCAGAAGCGCTCGGCGGTGATGCCTCGAGTAACGGAGCTTCTGATATGCGCGAGTGGCATAATGGAGCGCCCGCAGCTGCTGCTGCTGCGGCGTACGCGAGGTCCAGACAAGAATCTCACGGCGCCCTGTCGGACGGATGGAGTCAACCTCCACTCTCAGCTTCTGGACCCAATGGATTCGGTGGTCCTTCAGACGACGGTCATCACGTTTTGCCCGCTCCTGCTCAACAGCAAGCCTTGGCGGGGGCTGGTAATGCCTGGGGATTGCCAATGGGCTACTCTCATCCTCAGGCCACTGCAAGCGTCCCGTCTTCGGCATCCCCGCCCCAGAATGGCGTTTCCGGTCCTGACTACGGACACCTCGATCCGCCTGAAGTGCAAGAGCAACGCGCTAGGGAAGCAGCCGCCGCTGCTGCTGCTGCCGGACCTAGTAATCTCTACTCGAGTTCTGACCTTGCGCACCAGCAGACCGGCAACAGCGGATACGGCAGCGGCAGTGGAGGCAGACCAGCCACAGCGTCCTCCAACCACGGCGGCGACGGCATCTTTTCGGATGCAGCAGCTGCAGATGCCTACACGAAGACCGGTGGTGCGCCTGGCTCCCCTCGATCGTACAACAAGAGACAGTCGAACGGTTCCATGATGTCGCTTGGAGGCCTCGCGCCCCCGACGTACTTTGGCAACAACAACCAATTCGTCGATGCGCATTCGGGCACGCCTACTCGCGAAGATGGCGAGTTCCAATTCAGCAATCCCAGGAGGCTGGCCCCGACCAACCCCGATGCATGATGCGCACCATGTCCAAGCACGGGGCCGTCCTTTCCATGCAACTTGCACCCCCCTTGAGCACCAGCTGTACACTACAAAATAACGTATGTCCCTTCGTCTTTCTAAACACTCACGTGAGCGCCGCAAGGCCTCTTAATGTGCATATCACAATTGCGACGATGAAGTCGATCGCATCGCGGCACACCTTGTCTTGTGTTTGTAGGCTTGACAAGCTCAAAAGTTTGATTTGCGCTTCATGATTGCGGACAGAGCACTGCTGAGATGTACATGGCGAGGAGCGCCGCTTCCGCCCCAAGGTTCGCATTGGATTGCTCAGCTCAGCTCAAACTTTACCGCTCCCTCTTGGTGTCGCACAAATCGCAAGTCTGGAATTTTGACATTGTGCACGAGGTGTCTTTCGACGGTAAGGCGCGCAAGGCGCGCATCTACACGTGCAATGGAAAAGTTCATCTCGCGTCCGACGCCATGAAGTGGACGTGACGATACGCTCTTGAACGAAGAGCGAGCGAGCGAGCGAGCGGTCTTAGCCCAGCCTCTGCACCCTCGCTTGCAAGTCGTCCAACCTCTGTGCGACACTCTGCAGATTGCCTTGCACGCGCATCCCGTTGCTCTCCAAACTATCCCTCACCCCACTCAACAGCGTTCTCAGATCCGTCTCACCAGCTCCCAAAGCGTTTTGCGATTCTCTCAGCCCATCCAGATCCTTGGCAAATGTTCCGGCTGAAGAGTGCAGATCTTGCAGAGTCTGCAACCGACTCAGGATGGCCGGTATGAGGGGTAAAAGTCCATCGATCCTTTCCATGACCGGAAACAAGCTGTCCAACCTTTTCCTTTGGTCCAAGGACAAGCCTGACTTTTGGGCATCACCTGCCGCATCTTCATCCCCTTGATCGCGATGCTGCTGCTGCTGCTGCTCTGCCGCCGTGCCGCTCAGAACTCCACCTTGACCCACATTCGAAATGGAAGCGCTGAATCCCAACTTTCGACGAGCTTCTTGCGCTCGTTCGAGCTCGGAGACAAGAACCTTGATACGACGAGAGATCGAGTCTAGGTGACGCGGGTGGGCCAAGAGCGTCACGAGGTGCTCGACGCGTGAGAGCGTAGGCAGTAGGGGATGCGGCGGGCTTTCGGACTGAGGGCGAAACGGTAGCTACGTCTGTGAGCCAAATGGGCGCACAGTTCAACCGCTGTAGCCAGATCGCCTACTCACGCTTTCAAGCAAGGCTCCCACTCCTACCAGCTGTTCCAATTCGTGCAGTCTGCTCTCCAATGCTGCCAGCTCCGACGACGCGCCGACGTTGTGCGGCTTGATCCGCGCACTCGTGTCGCCTACGCTTGCGACACCTCGGGCATCCGCCAGATTCATTTCTTTCAGCTGCCCCAACAAAGTCCTAGCCTGTGTCTGCCAAGCTTGAGCGTCCAGTGAATCACTCGCTCTTTTGCCAGACAAGATGCCATCGAAGCGGTTGAGATCTCCTTTGAGTTGTCTGAGCTGATCCAACATGCGAGCATCTGCTCCTTGCCCTCTCTCCCTTCCGCGCTCTTGCTCTGACGCATTGTTCGAATCAGACCACTCTTGCCCTCGTGAGTCTTGCTCCTCTTTGAGTTCCCTTTCCAACTCTTCCGACTCCATCTTCAACCTCTGCAACCTCTCTGCTCGGCTCTCGGAAGCCGAGCCGACGGGCGAGACGCTCTGATAGCTTCTAAGCCCGGCCCTTTCCTGTCCGTAGTAGCCCACTTCCAAGACAGACTTAGGGGGGTACTTTTGCGCCCTCTTTCGACGAGCGGATGGCAGCTGATCGGAAAAGTCTGCATGGAAGATCGGATGAGGAGCAGGCTCGGCATTCGGGCAAATGGAGCTTGGGATCATGACGTGCGCACTCACCTACACCGCTAGCGTCCGCCCCCGTCCCCTGCCTGAAGCATCTAGTAGCTTCTCCCACATTCATTCTTGATCTCTCGATCGCTTCTATCGCCTCGTGCCCCGCATCTTCCGTCCTGCCGGCTTTCTTTGCAGTAGCAAGTCCACTCAAAGAGCTGCTGCTTGGCAATGCGTTCGCTCCGCCCGCTCCCCCTCCTTTTCGTTTGCTAGGCCGATCCGTTGCGCTGACAAAGCTGGCGTCTGGATCGTCAGACTCGGAGCCGGAGGATGAGCTTGGGGTAACTCCGCGGATCTTTTGAGCGGCGCCGCTCGGTGAATCGGGGCTCGACGTCTCGAACACATCGGGAGAGAATGTGTCCTGGGGGAAACGTGAAGCGACTGGTGAGACGCAGTGAGCGTGGGTCGAATCGACGTCGCGGCTACTCACAATGTCTGGCAGATCAGCATACTTTGAAGAGGACATGAGGGGCAGCGGCAGCGAATGGGCGCTCCTGTGCTGGTGCCGTTGAAGATTGCGGAGCTTTCCGACCGATTCACCTGTCTTGTCAGTGTGGTTGCACGTGCCCTCACCGCTTTGTGTGGAGCTTCTGCTCACGAAACAAGACGATCCAGACGGTCCTTGCGGGAGTCTTTGCACTGATCAGTAGCGAGTCGTGGCTTTGTGAGTGTTGTGAGCGTTGTGCACGATCGAGATGGCAGTCAAGGGCCACAGTCAGAGTCAGAGTCTCGAGTCAAAGTCCTGTGTTGTGGATGCTGGCAAGTCACGGGTTGCTGCGCGGTTGACCCCGCGTGCGCGTTAGAGCGCCACCCTGCCGCGCGCCTGTGCGTGCAGCCTTGCACAGCGCTGAATGCCAAATCAAAGTCACCAACCATATGCATGCAGTCTGAGGTGTCTGCGCTCCTGCATCTCGTACCACTGACATTGTATATATAGACGTGATCCTTTGCTGCCATGTTACCCTACTGCGAGACGCACTAATCACGAATAGCCAATTTGTATCTGCTCTACGAGCAGAGACTGCAGCCGTCATTCCCCCTCCGATAAGAATGGCATCGCCCACGCGAAATTTGCCACAAATCAAGAACCAGCGACGCACAAAGGACACGTTCAAATCACGTGAATGGTAGACGTCGTTTCTGCATCGTTTATGCAGCAGCAGCAGCAGCTGAGCATGCGTACCCCCCGCGGTAAGTTGCCATGTAGGCGCGGGCAAGTCTCGCAAGCCTTGCATGCAGCTACAGCGTCACCATCAGCAGCTTGGCAAGTCGCATGCAGCAGCAGCACTCATCTGACTCGTAATGATTTGTGCTACCAGCATCCTCTGCTTTCCTCGGCTATCTACCGGAAGTTCCACTCGGTCACACACTACTCCTACTACTACCAGCTGACACAAGTCATTCAGGATGAGTCTGAGTAGCACAACTCCTACCCCAGTCGCTGTAGCTGTCAAGTCTGGCTACATCGCAGCATCATGCAGACTCTTGCTGTCCTCACAGTCGTCCATTCAGGTCCCCGACTGACCTGCATGGGTCGAGGATCACGACAAATACCATGAAAGCAAGCTGCTGGGGAGCAATCTTGGTGATCCTTGCGGGCGCAGCTTGCATCTCGGGTCCATAAAGGTGAATAAGAGTCAAGTGAACTGCGAAGAGAATGTGCAACTGCGTCAGCCCATGCACAGCACGCGCGCAAGCTCCTTCGAATCAAGAGTCATGAGTTTGGATCAAGAATTGATAGGCTGCTTCGCGCGGTACATTCATCGATCGAGTGCATGGCCGGTGCTATGGTGAGGCTGCTGCAGCTGCTTACAGCATAATATGTTCGCCTCCCATCGAGAGACGATTCATTAGAAACAAAGTTTGTCTCGGAAAACGGCACGCATCCTATGCATCGCTCGAGCAGTTCGAGGGATATACGGGTGTACGCCTGGCGACGATGTTTTCCGAGGGATGCGCATCTTGACCGGACACGCGCCCACGCCAATGCTTGTGCTATATGGGAGCCCATCCACGGTTCAAATCTTGGATTGTATCATGCATGCTGTCTTGTCTGATGCTGCGCAACCTGGGTGCCTCATTCTGCTTATTTCGCAAGCAAAGGAGTGGGCACATCAGCATGTGCAAAACGTTTGACCCAGTCTCTTCGTCTGTATGGAGAGCAAGTAGGAAGATATCCACGACGGAACAAGTGTGGGCCAACAGAATCACGGTCAGAGTGAAGACGCCTCTAGCTAGACGCCTGACCGCTCACACTTGTACATTCGACGTGTCAGGCTGCTCTCGTCTCCGTTCATCAGTCGCGATTGGCCTTTCCCCTTCCCACACAGACTCACGACTCATACAAGAGACTGAATCTCAGTTTGTCGAACGACACTCTCTGCTAGCAATCCGCACACTTTTTGGAGGGCTCTGACGCAGGTACTCTGAACTTGCCACAGTGCACCCTTCGCGGCTCGAATCCCGTCGTCTCTCTGAGCGCTTCAAACCCAATTCCTGTGGCTCGCAGGCGTCCCTTCTTCACCGAGCAACTGTCCTTGTGCATCAGGAACCCTCCAAATGTTTTACAGCGCAGATATTCTCGGAGGCCCCAGACGCGGCCTGGGACTCGTATGGTGAGTCCATTCCTGTGCTCCTCGCTTTCCCTCCTCCAGCCCATGTAATCGCCGGCATACCTTGCATGCTCGCCCGTTCCTCCCTCAACGCAGGCTCGCGGCAACGCTCGGCGCCAAAAATGCTATTCGCAAACTCAACAAGCGCGATATCGCGACGTGCGATATAGGAAAGACTTGCGAAGCTGTCATGAATCCCAAAGAGCCAATGGCGTTGCGACTGTCTTCACAGCTCTTGTACGGCGTCGTGCGCATATATGTTCAGCAGGTGAGTTATCGCCAGCGTGGCATGTGCATGCGCTGCGCTGCGATGAGCACGAGCTCATGCTGACTCAACAGGCTCTCTGCGTCATCAGTCCGAAACATGGATGGCAGAGGTTCAGTTTACGCACGCTTCGCTGCGCAAAGCGTTCACAATCTTTGCACCAGCCTCGGCATCGGGAGCGCCGCCTGGCGTTCGCGGAGCAATCGACATGCCTTTGAATCGTCGCAATCACCAAGCTGGCAAAACGGCGCCAGGTGCAGCGGACGGCATCACTTTACCTTCCAACGACGCATTCTTTGCCGGAGATTTCGAATTCGATTGGTTTTGGGACGAAGACGGTGCTGGATTTGGAGACACTTCTACAGGTGTTGGATCCGCGTTTGTACCTAGCGCATCTTTCGAGACGCCCTCGCCACAGCGCAAGAGGTACACGGCGGATGCGGAGGCCATCACGTTGCGCAGCGCTCTGTTGAGCCAGCGGAATGCATCTGCCGAAGGTCACGCCGGCTCGGAACTGGGAAGAGATGGCGGAATGATACACGACGCTGCAGTATTTCAGGACGATGGAGATGATGAACCGGCACACCTTGATCTTGGACTCGAGGTGATGGACTACAACTTTCCCGCTCCTCCGTCCGAAGGCGACGGTGCTCAACACCGCGCCATGCGCAGCAGCAGCGTTCTTGGCGGGCCTGAAGCCGACTTTGGAGCGTTCGATGACCTTGGCGATATGGGCGCGCCTGGCGATTTCGAGTGCGTAACGCGTTGCGCCTGCAACACATTGATGGTTTGCTCATCCTAACAGACCTCGCAGCGTCGAGTACTTGAACAATCTGCCTGGGATGCAGGAGGCAGAGGTAGATAGATGCTCTCATGCAGCGATGCTCGCAAAATACGTGCTAATGCGTCTGCCTTTGTCCCGCATGGTCAGGCATCTCGTCAGCTAAGCCCGTCGGCTTCTCTGCGCTCAGCTCTCAAGCGCAGCGCTACGCCTTCTCTCATCGATTCCGAAGAGGCTCGCGCGCTGGGTCTGCCCATCCCACCGAGTCCCAAGAAGAAGCGCGTCACCTTCAAGGAGGACCGTCGACTTGAGCTTTCGGACGATGAGATGCGTCGCAACAGATCTGACTATCTCCTGAACATGGAAAAAGCACGAGCCGAAGCTGAAGCGAAAAGGAACAAGAAAGACGCGGAGATGCAAGCAGAGCGTCTCGTCTTTGGACCCAGCAAGGATCGTGAGCAGAGATGCAGTGGAATGTTCTGCAGTCAATTTGGAGCTGATATGTCCACTGTATGCATACAGTGGCGCACGGCTATACCCTCTCAACCTTTTGGCGCATGACTGTTGATGAGCGCTTCGCTGAGCTCAGTGAGGTGATCGACGATCAAGTGGACTAACGGATCACTTCACCAACACTGCGAGACCAATCATCCCCTTGTCATCCCTTAGCGACGATGCGTCAGGCGTTCCAGACGCCAAAGGCACCAACGCTGCCAAATGTTTTCGGCGGACCATTGCCCTTTGCTCAGGAGAATGGCCAGTATGACGAGGGAGTGGATATGTTCAACGATGATGCCGGCATGCCACCTGACGATGATGGCGGTGAGTGACGTTCGAAAGTGCGCAGCAATGAGCCTTGAGAGCTGATGCGAGCTACCTTTCGCTAGGAGTCTGGGACGATCTACCTGGTGGACCACCATCATCAAGCGTGAGTCGCGCGAGACTGCAACAGTGCGGCACGGTAGAAGCCAAGACCTGCTGCATTCGCAACATCGAGGATGCAGGAGATAGGACGTGCGGAAAGCGAAACGGCAACCGCCAAGCTGCCTTGGAACATGGCAGCAGACAATCTCCGAGCGGCAGCAGAGCAATCCAGTGAGTGCGCCGTCATGCAAGCTCCAGAGGCGACTGGTCTGAGAGCTTCTCCGCAGCCGTCCTTTCTGGAACTCGAAGTGTCGGAGACGGCACCTTGCGCTCATTTGCGGAAGGAGATATCAGCGCTATTCGGTGAGAATCGACGGTGTAGTAAATCGCCTGGTGCCCCGCTGATCTTCTAGTCGGTGTTCGTTCTCGCACACTAGTGGAAGTCGCCGTGATAGCTCTGTGATCCCACCCAGTCCGCGACTCATCAGAGAGGACAGCCGATTATTGGAAAGTCAGTCCGGCTAGGTCCGCACGTCCGATCCAATCTTTTCACCTTGTACCTCTTTTATGCCATTTTGTAGCTGGATCACGCGCAGCTCAAGAGAGCCAGAGCCAGATGGAGAGCCAACTGGTACGTCGCTACGGCTGGGCTGTTGCATTGTCCGTGTCAACGCAGACTGAACGCGGGCGTGACAACGCAGGCCATCGATACGTTCAAGAGCGAGTCGAACAATTTTTTGGTCTTTGCACACAATACTGCTGCTGGACTTGGCGATCAGCCCTTGTTCTTCTCTGATCTTGCACCGGTCGCAGACACGACTGTACGTCCTAGAATTCGAGTCGAGTCGAAAGGAGCGACGAGATTTGCTGATGCTGGTTTATCAACGGCTTGTCAGCCTGGAGTGGCCGCCCAAGCCTTCTACCACCTGCTTGGTGAGCTTTAAACGCATAAATTGGTGTCCTTCCCATATCGTCGCGCCTGACTGCATGAACGCCTGCCTGCCCGCTTCTGTGCAGCCCTAGCTACCAACGACAAGATCTCGATCGAGCAAAACGAGGCATACGGCGAAATTCACATTGGCCTAGGAGACATCTCGGGCATCCCGCCATTTGCCCCTAATCTCTCTCGTTCTCAAAGTCTCAGCTCATCCCGCTCTGTCTCACTCAGGCCATGAGCCTGGCTGGAAGAGTCTCGTTGTGTGCCGATTTACCCTCGGTCAGCAACGCTTCTGCTTGATTCGCATGAGATGGCGGCGCGTGTACGAAAGTTGGACCGCCCCCGTAGACCCTAGTATCGAACGCTGATGTACACCACACCAAATGAATAGTTCATGAGCGTCTGTACCAAATCTAGACGTCGGCGCTCAGAGAGAGGCGAAAGCGCGAATCGCTTGCGTCGAGGTGACAGACACAGCGCGGACTTGGAAAGTGTAAAGAAGCGCTCTGCTGCTAGCAGGCTGCGTTTGGTGGACCCGGCCGGCCGCTCGTGGGAAGAAAGCGGGCCGTGCGCAATGCAGCTTTCTCGGGGCTCCGGCTTGTTCGGCCTGCATACGCGCCGGCTGCCGGTTGTGGGGGAATGAGGTGCTCGGCATGTTGGATGATGACTTTGCCGCTCGCGCGGTCATGCCGAGACTTGTATATGTGGCACATTGTAACGGATGTAGTGTAAGCACCGAAGTGGGGAGTTGGTTGTATGCAGAGCTCATGGAATGGATGAATTCAGACTGCAAGCTGCTTTTGTCTGAGACGTTGGCCCTCTTACTTTTGACTGCATGGAACATCGGCCCATCTCGATCGACGACCTTCTCATTCGCTGCGCCCCTTGCCCACTCCAAACCAAACATCACCGCAACATCTCCTCCGTCATTGATCATTGCATTCATCATGTCCCAGCCAAAACAATCGGCGCAGCCTGCGCCTCAAGCGGGCGTCAACTTCGATCTCACAGTGGGTCATGTTGGCGAGACTCAAGCGGTCTCGTGGAATAGACGAGACATTGTGCTGTACGCCCTAGGCATAGGCAGCAAGGAGACCGAATTGGATTATGTGTACGAACAATCTTTAAATTTTAGACCTTTTCCCACGTATCCTTTGGTGCTGGCATTCAAAGGAGAGGGAAGCGATACGAATGTGTTTGCGGAGATGATTGCCAGTAGAGGAGGTACGCCTGGTTTCCCCAATCTGGATCCAAACACGCTGGGTGAGCTTGGCGGTGGGGTTGAGATCGACTTTTGAGTTGCAAGACGCGCAGATCCGACTCACCCGTACACCGCCTTGCCCCTTTCTCCTCCCACATTCGACGCAAACCCAAAAGTTCATGGCGAACAGTCTATCATTATTCATGAGCCTATACCGGCCGTCAGTACGCCCGGATGGAAGTTGCAGAAACGCACAGTCGGGGTTCACGACAAGCCAAGCGGGCTCATACTCGAGGGCGAAACTGTCTTGATCAGTCCTACGGGTCGCAAACACGCCACAATGACTGGTGCGTAATCCATCCGCCCTTTCCCGGTCTGCCTCTCCAGGTTGAACGGCAGTACTGACATTATACCCTCTCGCTTCGCTCGCACGGCGTGCTCCTCAGGCGCAAGCTTTTACAGAGGAGGCTCGCAAGGGACAGGCTACAGCAAGAGCATTGGTCACAAGTTGCCAGTGACCAAACCTCCTTCCAAAGCTGCAGACTTTGAGTTGCAAGAGGTGACGACGTCCACCCAAGCCGCCCTGTACCGTCTGAGCGGAGACTACAATCCTGTGAGTTACGAGATGACTGCTATTCTGCTGCCGACGTTTCCGAAGGGCAGGGCGGGCGCTAGCTGGAAAGGGGGCCAAACACAAAACTTGCACTTGCTGACGTGCCAGGCTGTTGCCTGCGCCATTCATTCTAGCTTCACATCGATCCATCCATCGGCAAAAAGGGCGGACTTCCAGGAGCCATACTTCACGGCCTATGCTCCTACGGCAAGTTTTATTCCCCCCCATGCCCGACACCCATCGTTCCCGATGCATAGACTGACCTCCACTTGCGCTCTCCCCCCCCTTTTTTCCCCAACCGAATTCCATGCATCGACGTGACCACGCATTCACAACTTCCATGTTGATGCACGCAGGCCACGCAGCCCGCGCCATCCTGCGCAGCGTCTCACCTCTCGAAGGTCAAGCAGCTTCGACAGACATTGTAGAGCTCAAAGCCATGTCTGCCAGATTCACCAGTCCCGTCCTGCCCGGCGATACGCTCAAGACGAAGGTTTGGATCATCGGAAAGGACGCAGGGGAGGATGGAAAGATCAAGATTGCATTTGAACAGGAGATTGTGGGTGGAAAGAAGAGCTTGGGAGGCGGTTATGCAGAAGTGGTCAAGGTAGCTCGAACCAAGCAGGCCAAGCTTTAGGCCCGTCAAAGTTCGAGGATCATCGTCATTGACTGCATGGGCATGGAAATGCAAATATGTATCAATTCGTGCCCCCCCCCCTTTTTGCTCCGACCGCACGCAACAAAAAGATCAAGGTCGAAGGCGCACCGATAGATTGCTAGAGGGCGCGACGCCTAGCGGTCGAACTACGACGCACGTCTGTCAGGTCAAGTGTCCGAAGTGAAAGCTGAGTGAAGTGTAAAGAGTACATCTTGACTGCTTGAGTAGTGCTACAGCGCATGTCGGCACGAACTGAGAACATGAGCGCTTTGAATCTACGCGATTGGTATGCAGGCTCGGCGAGACGCGTCGATGTCTTGGTCGTCGGTGATGCACAGGGCAGCGAAGCGCTCGTGCAGTCTGGTCAAGGTGCAATTTTTGCCGATGACTTGATGAGGGAATCGCACGAGCGTCTCTTCAAGGCTACCTAGTCCTTGAAGGAACACCGAGACGTCCACTTGTGCAGCCTTTTGGTGTTTTGGAGGGATGCGAGCATCTTCCATCAAGCTCAGCAAGGTGTGCGCGGCGATTGCCATGGCCTGCACAACCAAAGGAGGGAACTGGTGCGCAGATTGGTGGGAATGAACGTCTGGATGTGCTTGGTGGAGGATCATCTTGGATGCTGCAACTCACGGGATGGTACGTCAACGAGATTGCTGTTTCGTCGAACAGCATCTGATGGTCCACCGATAGCTTGTGCGTGGTTCGCAAACGTTCAGCGTCAGCCACACGCATAGGCTCGTCTCGAATCTTGAGGCGCGTGACGGCTGCCAGGGCACAAGCGCTAGTGACTTTGAGGCCCGTTCTTCCGGTCACCGTGAACAGCGTCTCGTGCTCGGTGCAGAGCAGACGCTCGACCAACTGAGGTCTGTCGATGCATAAAATCTCTACAATGTCGGAGAGGTAGAGCAAGACTTGATTGGCGTGCTGCACGAGGTAGCACAGATGAGTTTCCGTCACTGTAGACAAGCGGCGCTCGCCAGCCATTTTGAGCGCCTGGTCTTGCAAGGGTTGGTAAAGTTGCATCCACATGTGCACCGCTCTAGAAACGCTCGCTGCCATCTCGAACGCCTGTGCGTCCGACACCTTGTGGAAAGCACGACGCATCTTGACCAGCTCGGAGAACATGGTCCAGAGCAGAACTTTATGTGCAGCCGCCTCTCCCAGCAGACACTCGAGCTCCGCAAGACCGACCTTGCCGTTTCCAAGCAGCTTGATAGCACTGCTGAGCTTGCTTGCAGAAGTCAAGCTTCGTTTGATGGTGGCATTCCAAGTCTGTGCAGCGCAGGATATCCGCGGCAGCTTTTCAAGATCTTGCGGCACAAGGACACTGCCCAGGAGGACGTTGCAATTCCCGTCCAATTGAGCGCGTAAAGCGTGCCTATCGGGTAGGATCTTCAACATCTCTTTCCAGAAAGTGGGCTTCACCCCTCTCATCGAGTAAATTCGAGACTGTCTGCTTTCCGTAAGGGTGCGCACGACTCGGCCGGAGAGGCCTTCGAACCATTCTGCTGTGCAAATAAGTTGACGACACTCTTCTCCGCATGCCCTGGTCAAAGGGCTCACCGGAGGCTCAGGAAGATCATCCTCGAGCTGGGAGCGCGCGCATCGTAGAAGTAGTACAAGTCTCTCTGAACCTTCGCGTAGGGCATACAGTTGATCTTCTGGTGGCCGGCGGCCTTCTGTGAGCGTTTCGCGGTCGGGTGGCTCAGTGGCGCCCAGCAGAATGAGTGCCTGGCATTTGCTCGAGCAGAGACATTCCATCAAATATCAGTGGACAACCTTGGGAAGAGTCGCAGAGAGCCTCTTCGCTACTCACCAAGGCTAGACGGAAGGAACGGGCAGATATGGCGTGGAAGCAAGCGTCTCTGGCTTTGATCCAGGCGCTATCGGCAAAGACTCGTCGATCTTGGACATACTTGCTCCTCTCACTAGCTGATTCTCCCTGCTTGCTGCGTTCTTGGTACTGAGCCATGCACGCAATGATGCTCAAGACCAAAGCATATCCGACTTGGTCCGTCTTTCTCAGAGTTTCAAAGTTAAAAGGTCCAGCTGTTGAGCATTCAGTATCTGACTGAGGCTTCAAAGACAAGCAGTCGCCGAATACGATGTCGAGCATGGTCATGACCAAGAGTAGTCCAGGCTGAGTCCTGACTTGCAACGACGAGGCAGAGGCCGACGAGGTGATGCCCTTGTATGCTGCACTGATGTTGCTAGCGGCGCCCAAAAGTTGCGCAAATTGAGGACACGAATCCGCTCGTAGGACTTTGAGACCTGTGGTCGCCGGAATGCACCCTGGACTGAGCCAATTGGACATTGGAAGCTCAAATACGTTCAAAAATCGGCTGTAGCTGTCTATGATTTCGGTGGCGAGGTCAAAGAGGAAGAGCTTTCACATCGCAGCAAAGTACCCCGCAGACTCACGAGATACCACATTACCTCTCAAGTTCGAGTCAATGATAGCAAGCTCCATTTTGCTGCTCAAGGTCAAAGAGTACCTGCGCTTGCGGCTCGAACAGGTGCCGACGGTCGCCTCGGAAATTGGACCAGCGAGACACTCCACACGGTCCGGTGAGGTCTCGCACCGAGCGCCTGCCATTGGAGAAGCAGCTGAGCTACGCCGGATCATCTTCTGAGTGCTTCTCTGCTCCTTTTCCAGCTCTTTGCTTCGGAGCCTGGTGGTGATGTATTCGTTCGTGCAAATCACGTTACTCTGCTGGCATGACCAGCATGTAGTGATGCCGGCTGGATCGTCTCGATTGCAGGCGCGCTTGCCCTTGCGACAAGGATCGCAAGCATGATTCTGTCGACGTTGAACGGTAGGACATGATAGCGGAGTACTAGTAGCCCAATTCAAGTCGCGTTTTGCCCCTGGCGAGCTTTCAGTAAGCGGAGCGGCTGGGTCGAATGGCGAAGCATCATCTGCACACGAACGAGCTGCCGAGTTGAGGGGCGCAGAAGAAGGTGTCAAGCTTGCAGACGTCATCCAGGGCAAGTTCTCTACTGGTCCGTCGAGAGTCGTACTCGAGCTGATCTGAAGTGGAGCCATCGCAGCAACTGCAGTGAGGTCGCAGTTGCCTTGGTCGACAAGCTCGTAGGCTGCCGCATCGATTCCAAACGCATGGATTGCGGTCTGCCCATTCGTGCCAAGTGCTTGGATGTTCAGAGCTGACTGATATGACGGGCAGGGTATCAGTGCCTCTTGCTCGACCTGCGCAGCCCATACTGCTAGGCTGAAGGGCTCGTTTCCTTGCTGTGCGCCAAACTCGGATCTGGCGTGGGTTGCTTGAGTACATTGTTGGAGCTCGCTTTGCGCTTGATCAGCCTCTGGAGGTGCGCTTGAATAGGGAGCAACCTCTTGGCAGGCGTTAGAGTAGCTGTGTTGCTCACCCGAAGCTATCGAGGGCCATGGCACATCCTGACAATGCATAGGATACATCTTGGCTGTGAAGTAAATGCTCCATCTGATGTGCCAGCTGTCGAAGCCGACAGAGAGCTCTTTTGGGAACGCTCTTAAATGCGCAACTGCGGTGGGAAGCCTTCTGGGTGAGTGCAAGGCACTTGCTCGTCTCGAATAGTGATTGGATCCCTGAGCACGTGCAAGAGCCGGTGGTACTGCTGACACCCACACAGTATCTAGTCAGTGTGTCTAAGGGGTGGGGGCTGCGCAGCGCAGCAGGCCTCACCCTGGTGGAGGCTGGGCACGAACCCGGATATTGAGTGCCGGTTGCCCGAGTAGCTAGACGCCTTTGCTGAGCTCTCTGCTGACTGCATCCACACTTCCTCAGAGCTAGTCACGAGTGCATGGTGAGTGCTGAGTCACAACCCAAGCGATCTGATTCGTGGTTGTGCGTCTTTACTCACGACTGGATGGGCCGTTCGATGCAGCTCGAACAAGTTGCGCCCCCGCTTTGCACCCCTTTTGAGCTTCGTGATTTCAGATTCACGATTCCGAATCAAAATCACAATTATGAATCCTAAATTGTTGATCTTGACTCGTGAAGCATCTGCATCTTGATCAGGCTATAGTTGCACCCGGCACCGGTTACTGGTGTAGCCTGGACGCCCGGCGATTGGTGACGTTCAACTGCTCAGTGAATTTTTGAAGCGACCTATATCACCAGCAATCTTGCATATTCCAGAATCTTGAAGGGTGACAAAGTTGCGTGGCCTAGGTCGTCAGCTGAGTGACTCTAAAGAGGTGGTGGGAGCCGTGTAATTTAGTCAGGTTTCAGCTGAGGCTAGTGTCAATTCTCGATTTTTAATTGTATAGCCGTCAAACCACGCGAATCGTGAATCATTCGTCAAGACTGATGAATTTGGTATCCTGGGCGGCGCTAAATTGAACCTTGTGACTCGTGCTTCCGTCGCAGTCGCTAGCCGATCCTTGATACAAGACTGAAAATGATCAACCGTGATTCAAATTCACAATCACGAATCAAAATTCCCACATGCATGTTCGACTTTAGACTCACAATGAGACGATATGTGAAATGCCGTGGGCGAGCGTCAAAAGTTGGGGACTCACATGAATGCATTCCCCTTGCCGGCCCATAGCTTTGTCTGGCCATTCACTCACGATTGAACGTGAGAATCTTTCCGACACAGGGAAAGGTTGCGATTGAAAAGTGCGGCCAAGTGGGTGATGGTGTATACAGCTGCATGCGTCATTCGCTTGTTGAGAGGTCCCTTGAACGCCCTGCCGAGCGCCGCCTCATGCCACACACTCAATCTGACTCGACTGCAATTGAGGCACATAAGCCTGATTGTGTCTAAAGTTGTCCAAGTTAATCTTGAATGCGTGATGCGGCCTTCAGCATTCAGCCCAATTGTGAACCTTGCATGGCGTTTCATTCGTGCTTGAGTGATTCATCAGCAATCATCAAAGCTCTATATGGATTCGTGATTGCTGACGCGAGGATCGCGATGCGTGGGCATTCTTGATTGTAACTAATTGATAGCCAAGAGCTCCGGTTGCCATACTTATTTGCGGCTTGCGTCGTGTGAGGCCATTCAAATTGGTTCTCCAGTCACGGGTCAAGCGCCAAAGGCACGTCTGTTGCAGTTGGCCATCAGCTGCTCGAGCGATCTGGTATGATGGCGATGTAAGGTGCGGCGTGGCCATTCAGCGCGATCCACGCTTTAATGCCATGCCTACACACGGAACAGACCGGCGAGCGGCAACGAGTAGCCGCGAGTGCCCAAGCAAGCCCATCGCAGTTCCATCCAGCATTCGTGATTCGAGTCAGAAGAGAGGCTTGATCGAGTAGTTCGACCCTCAGCATCGAGGTCCAGCTCCAGTCTGCTCCAGTGTTGACTGGTGCAACGATTCTTGTCCATGCTTTTCCTTTGAGAAAGGAATGGTCTGAAATACTTGCAGAGGAATGACTGCCTTCCATCACAGACAGAATAGGACTTGCGCATCCTGCACTTCCTTGACACGACCAACCAAGTTGCCACTGTGGTCCACCAAGTCAACCTTGACCAGATCGCTACAAGGCGCAAGGATCCTCTGTGCTTGATCGAACCACAAGCCTATGTAGATGCAGACAGACCTCCTCACCATCCCTTGTGGACACCTTGCAACCGTTGGCACCACATGCTAGCCATAGTAGATGAACACCATACAACAGGTGCCTCTTGTAGGACGCGTCATTGTTGATGTGATTTTGAGGCCAAAGGCTTTGCATCACAACTAGATTTTTGTTGACCACTCGCACAATACGGTGGACAAACGTGCCCACTGGTGCTGGTACCTTTGCATCTACAACGTGATCTGCAGTGTTGTAGCCCTCCCACTGATGACGGAAGCCTGAGGCCATGAATTGACTGGTCAACAAGTGCGCGCCTGATAGACAAGCTTCCTTCAGTCCTCCCGGGCCTGCCACCGCCTCTTTTGGTACTCCATCCGCTCTACCGCTTCTGGGTGGAGATTGACCGTATAAGCCTCAAAGACAAGACGTGCGCTAGCGTCACTCGATGCTGCATCCGCTCTGCCGAGAACCTAAGCCTGTCTCTCTCCTGTGTGCTCTGTTCTCTCTCCCGCGTGCTCTCCTCTCTCTCTCGCGCATGCTCTGTTCTCCCTCCTCTGCGCTCAGCCAGTCGTCGCCGCGGACTTCTTGAGAAGGGGCTCGCCTGCTACTGCGCCAGACGCCCGTGTAAGATATGAATGAGGCGCTGCCCGCTGCAGAGCATGTCATGTTGGTCAACGTCGGTGGTAGTGCCAAGGCAGCGGCAGCCATGCTAAACCACGCGCACGCGCACGCAGCGGAAAGGATTCGTGATTCGTGAGTGTAATTCGTTCGAATTACAAGGTGTCGCACAAATCGTGGACTGACCATGTGCGTGTACGCTCGATCAAGGTCGATCATCGCGATCGTGATCGAGTAGTCACCAATCACAATCAATCAGAATAGGTAAACTCGAATGCATGGTGACGTGTAAATCAGCCCAAAAAGCGTCAAATATTCACATTGTCTTGAATCACAAACGAGGCTTCACGCAGGCGCGCCTACCATTCAATATTTCCGCGGCGTCATGCAGACGCGCACCGTACCATGCATTTCTGTTTCACATTGCACCGAAATAGCCGTGCGCGCGGCATAGCATAATGGGACTGTGCACGCGCGTGTGGACCTCAGCTCGCCATTCAAGATTTCGATTCACATTCACGATTCACGCAAGCAAGTCGCGATTAAAGATTTTCTTTAATTGATTTACCGTACCGTGCACGCACACGTAAGACTCATCACGATCTTGACTTCACACTTGGCTCGTGACTTAGACTGGTGAGATTCAGTCACGAGTCATCCGCCATTTGCACGTTCGTGATTTCGTGATGTTTAAGATTCCAAACCAAACAGCTTCGGCCGCTTTCAAGTACACGATTGACCTACTGTGCTCTCCATTCCGGGATTCAATGACTCACGACTCCTGCTGCCCCTGCACGCACGTTGGAGTGTGGGCGAAAGAGTCGGGATCGACCACACAAGGCAAGCCCAGTCGTGGTTGAGCGTGATAAAGTTGCATTTATATTCCATCGTACAAGACAAAACGTCGTCCAAGGCTTCCCGAACTGGTATCATTCACATTTTGTGGGCAAGCGCGCGCTGGTCGGTCTCCGTCGCGCACAAATCTGTAGAGACAAGCTCTCCTATACACGGAGATGCCGCATTGGCGAAGCAATACGTGGGATAGTGAAACAGCGTAGCGGATCAAAAGAAACCTCTCGAAACGTTTATGCTTTTTGAGAGACTGGGGCAGCGGCAGCAGCAGGCTTCTCTTCTGCTGGACTGTCATCCGATCCAGTGGCCGATCCTTTTCTCGCATTCAGGGCATCCTCGTCGATTGGCGTCGTGGGCTCAGACTCGCCCGAGGCATCATGACCTTGTCCGGCAGTGAGTTGTACGGACTTTTTCTCCGCTCCATCCTCGCCAGCAGTGGTAGGGTTTGGCTTGCCCGTAAGCCTAGCGTAGATGCCCTTGCTGATGAGGATGAGAATGGGTAATCCTTCGTAGAGAGGGTATAAGCCGACGATGACAAAGGCGATGACGGACCATGCAAAGCTGACCCACACCCATCCCCCGAAGAAAGACAGTGGGAAGGTGTAGTCTCTGTACAGAGAGAGTGGCCAGATGAGGACCATGACGACAAAGATGGTGAAGGCCGAGACGAGAGCGATGATGAGCCACTTGTGAAGGTTCTCCTTGCTCCAACGAGCATCCTCCTCGATCTCTTTGAGCTCCTTTTCATCCACCGTCTCGCCACCTTGGCCTCCGTGCGCCGAAGAGACGCTGATGGACTCCCATCGGAAGTCGGAGGGGAAGAAGATGCTCCCGATGGTGCACAGCAACGTACCAGTGGCGATAGAAGTTGCGAATGCATAGATGTTCGGATCCATCTCTGCCAGCGTGGTGACGTTGACACCTCCTTCGAGGCGCTTTGCGAGCGAAAGCCAAACTGCCAGACCAGCAAAGAAGCCGATCCAGATGCCTGGGAACGCGGTCCATTTGGGCGTGCGGCTTTGCCAGAAGCTGAACACTAGCTGGGGCAGTGCAGCGCAGGACCACACACCCGTAATGTTGTACAGCAGGCCGAGATCCGCGCCGACGCCCTGAAGCAAGCAGCCAAAGGCGGCAATGAAAGCCGTAAAGCCAATGACACCGTACTGCTGCGAGCGCAAGATCTGATCAGGAGTGGCCTTGCGGTTAAAGTAAGTTTTGTAAATGTCGTAGCCAATGATGCTGCTGACGGCGATTAGTTGGGCCGATACGGCACTGGTGGAGCTCATGAACATGAGCAGCAGCACACCCGCAGAACCGCCTTTTCCGAGGACGGCGTTGGCAGCGTACGGAAGCACAAGACCAGCAGAGACCTCGCTCTCCGACATGCGACGAGGGTAGGTCGGGAAAGCTGGCGATGTAGTCTCAAGGGCAAGAGCGGAAAGACCAGCAGTGGTTGCCAACGCCCAAGGAATGGAGAACCAACTGAGCGAGCCCAGCAAATAACCTGTCGCGAGGCGCCAAGGTTCGAGCACATTAGTCAATGCGAAGTCTGCACCCCACACACATCTGCGACGCACCTGGGACAACAGTGTCTGGACCAGCGGCCAGAGCTTTCTGATGAAAAGAAGCATCATTGAAAACGACACCAGTGTACTCCAGCAAGCTCAGCCACTGGAATTCAATACCTCCAATACTCTTCATGGTGAGGAAGCTGCCATTGTAGTTTTCGGAAGGATTCTTGTTGCTAGCTTCAGTGAGGAGTTCCCACATGCGTGCGGCGCTACCAATTTCGCTTCCAGTGCCGTAGACGACGATGAAGAAGACGAACAGGATGATGAAGATGATGACCGTGTGGAGATAATCGGCAAGGACTGCAATGCGACAGCGCTCCACGTCAGCATTCTATCTGGCGCGGAGACTTTTGCCGAAGAGTACTCACTGGTACCACGAAGACCTGCCCGCAAGGTGTAAGCAGCAACTGCAACGGGCAGCAAAATCAAGGCAGCGTACGTGTTGATACCAGTGATGGAAGTGATGGCAGCTGCAGCACCGACGAGCACACTCGAGCAGACCAGAATGTTGGTTGCGAGCGCGAAGAACAAGAAGGTCAAATGACCAAGGGTACCGTATCTGAGTCTCAGGAGTTCCAGGTGGGTGTGGAGCTGAGGAACTTTTTGCTTAAAGCGGACTGCCATGAGAGAGAAGAGGGCAATTTGTGACATGTTGGAGGCTCCGTAGAGCATGGCGCCAGCGACGCCATAGTTGTAAGCGGTGGAGCAGGACGACAAGAGCGTCACTGGTCAAGTCAATGAAGCAATCGGGGGCAATTCGTGAGCCAACTTTTTTGTCTTATGAAAGACTGTATTCGAGTCATTCACTCACCACTCCAGGTCCAGCCAGACACGGCTCCAGCTGCGGTCAATCCCACTCCCAGACTTCTGGAGGCGATGGCATATTCCGCAGACGTCCTCTTGATGTTGCCGAAACGATGTAGACCGTTGCTGATGCCGATAACGACGATGGCGAAGAGCGCGCCGAGGCCAACGATTACACCATACCCAGCACCCTGAGTCAGAGGAGGTGGAGGGGAGCCCGCTGTAGACATCTCGCTGAACGCTCGAGAGGTGAATCGGAAGTGACTTCTCCGCGCGTTCCTTTTGTGTGGTGAGCAATAGGTTTCTCTCGCTCCAGTGCGGCAGAGCTATAAGGATCGACGAGATGAAGCGAGCAAGGGTTCGAAGTCGAGCAATGTATGCCGGCTTTATGGCTTGTTCGCTGCGAGCAGATCACGATGCTTTTTACAAATCACCTGGGGAGGCTAGGCAGTAAATCAGCGATCGACGAGAGGAAACGACGGGTCCGCTGCAAGTGAGTCGTAAAGGGGAGGAGGGGTTCGATACAGTAGGTACGTGCCGATCTCGCAACTACGACAGATGCATCATTCCCCAAGCCATCGTATGGAAGCAGAAGGGAAGATGCGCCTCCTGCAAGCCATCTCTAATGCACCAATTCGATTGCACCATAAGAGGCTTGACTCTTCTCTTCGGGGCGCTCAAGTCTTCAGCCGATAGAAGCGAAACGGACATTTTGAACGAGGGGAGAGATGCTCCAAGGACCCTCGCGAGGCTCCAATCCAGTCAGATCCTGCAGAGACTGTTATCTTCATGCTCCGATGGATGATGCAACTCAGCAAAGGCGTCGGGGTCGAAGCAGTGTCAGGCATTCAAGCCAGACCGGGGTGCTCGAGGAGGTTCCAAGGGTACGGCACCATGCACTCGGCGAGTCGCAAAGTGCAGGGACGACGAAACTAGACCAGGGTGCGAACATTGGCTTGCTCGCTTGCTCGCTTCGCCCTACCGTACAGTACACTGTCAGCCGGCCACGAGCGGATGCTCCAACTCAGTGCACCAAAGCAGATTGGCCAGGGGGACATTTGCAACACGCCATTGCGTTCACAATTGCATCTTGATCAGCCACAATTTCTCTCTTCATTTGCCCGCGATGAGGTCGATCGTCACAAGTCTCAAGTCGTGAGTCTGGAGTGTGGGCAGAAAGTCGCATTAGCGTGACCAGCGCTTGAGATCTGCTCTCGCAACGCTGCAACACGACTACCATGATCACTGAACAGCTTCCATACACGGGAGCTGGTGCTCTCATGCAGGAAGCCGATATCGAAGCTTAGGATGCATGTGTGCTGAATGGACGGCAGCGGGGGGAAGGTGAGTGAGCGAATCGAGTCGAGGTGTACAATAGCAGCAGCAGGCGGGTTGGAGAGCGGACTGCACGGATCGAGCACGCCATTGGGATTCGGGATGTTGTGTTTTTGTTCGTGTGTATCTGACGTGCTTGGTGCATAAACTCGTGACTCACAGCTTGGACGCACAGTTGCTTTGGCGCAGCCTGCATGCTGGCCCAGCAGCAGTGATTCAAATTGCACGTGTGCAGTTCCGGATGAAACAAAGTTTGGGCAAGAGCACGTGTGTCTTTAGAACCTTCACGTGACTGGGACAACACGATGGCGACCACATTTGTCTTAAGTCAAGTCTGAGTCAGTTAGTGCACGGCCTCCACATCCATGATTTGCCCGTTCAAGTTGTTGGGATCGCCGCGCGCATGGAGGTGCTAAAAGCACTCCAGACTCGACGCAGACTTTGCGCAGGCAAGCTGCATTCACACTCGCGATTGCTTCTCCCTCGACTTGCACCCACGACCCTCACTTGCACTTCGACTCAACCACAGTGTCGAAAGAGCATCATTATCCAGCGCGGTACATCCTTCAGCGACTGGTGATCGAATAGCAACCAAGCACCTTCTCACTACCACCACCAGCCATCCAACGCGCTTTTGCATCGAGATGACTTCTCTGCTTCCCTACGACCTTCAATCGCTCATCTCTCGTCGAGAAGGTGCATTGAAACCTTCTCCCGCAGTAGGCTCACAAGCACCCTCTCTACCCACGGGCATAGACTCTTGGCAAACACAAGGAGGTCCAGGAACACTTGTAGCTTTCGTAAGACATTGCGGTTGTCCCTTTGCAGAAGAGGAGGTCAAGAACTTGATAGAAGCTTCCAAAACGAACCCTGGGCTCAGGGTGGTCGTCATCACGCATGCAGAGAGGGATGTGGCTGAGAATTGGTTCAGAGAAGTAGGGTGAGTAGGAAGAAATGGAGGATGGGTGTGCTCCACATTTGCGAATGATTCGGATCACCGAAGACGCCAGTGTAGGAAAGCATTAGGCGCGAGGCTGACCTAATGCGCCCTTCATTCTTTCATTGCTAATTCCCTAACCTTCCCTTCGCCATTTTGAACATCAGACGTGACGATTTCCCCTCGACGACGCAACCTATTCTGATCGATGATCCCTCTACACGTCTATACGCAACATGGGGCATTGGCGAATTATCATGGGGCGGTCTTTTCAATCTGTCCATGCTATCTCGACTGCGAGAGCTAGCTTCCACAAAGGGCATTTCCAATCGCAAGACGGGCAAAGGAAGTCAGAGGTGGCAGAATTCGGGCGGATTCGCAGTGGACAAGACGGGCAAGGTCACGTGGGCAAAGGTCGCCTCTGATGCTGGCGACACTTGCGATTACGTCAAGGCGGCCGACAGCCTCAAAGCTTGAGCCGAAGCGTGACGCCCTTGATTCGACGTGCTTCACCTTCCGCCGAGTGTCCATCAGCTCGACGACTTCGACTCGCAACAGATAGGCCCAAGCGCGCATCAGCCATCGTTCCGCCTTCTCCTCAAGAACTTGCAATGTATACTCAGATCGGGCGACACAGTACGTACGTGCGCTCGAAGACGATTGTTTGCTCACGTAGCTGTGTGTGGATAAGTCTATAGGGATATGAAAAGCGGCGAGACATGACAATCGTCGAGACGTAGCGTTTACATGTTCGCGAAGAGATTCTGAGCACTTCACCGCGCGTTGAAGCAACAAAGCGTTCGCTCGATTTAATCGTATCCGCCCTTCGAAGTGTCTCCGTACAGCTGCTTGAGCTCGCGATCTAAAGGATCAAGCGTTCCTTACGCGGTCAACATGGACGAAAAGGGCAAGGCATTATGCTCCGCAAAGTGCCAGCTCACCTTCACTTTCATCCTGCTTTGCGTCCGTCTCGGTCACCTCAAACGCCATCTGCGCCTCATCGTCCTCATTCTGAGCTCCGCCCGCAAGCGTCTTGCCCTGCCTACTGGTGACCCATCCGCTCTTTCTCTTGAAAGCTTCCGGACTCCTATCCAGCAACATTTCCAGATTCGCATCGCTGATGATCTGATCGCCCTTCCCAGCCAGCTGAACCTTTTCCGGCTCCAACCTCATAAACACGTCCGAGATGGTGTACTTTTGATTCTGTCGACCCGATCGGATCGACTTCATTGCGTCTAGCGAAATGCCCCGGAATTGATCCTCTGCCATCACCATCTTTTCCAATTGACGCTTGGCAGTGGCTCGACGCAGAATGCGCTGCTCGAACGTGTTGGCGGCGACAAGTCGGAGAACCAGCACGGGCTTCGTCTGACCAATACGGTGGGCTCTATCCTGCGCCTGCAAGTCCGCTTGCGGGTTCTGTAGAGGTGTATGAGGTGCAAGCGTTAGTACAACATGTCGCATCAAAGCCTCGATCGATCTTACACACTCACCCAATCGCTGTCGTAGAAGATGACCGTATCAGCGGCAATGAGATTGATGCCAAGTCCACCGGCGCGCGTGCTAAGAAGGAACAGATTGACAGCGTCGGGTCCTTTTTCATTGTTAAAGGCGTTCATCTGATCCTCGCGATCTTGCAAGGAAGTATTCCCGTCAATGCGGAAAGTATTCCAGCTTTTATCCTCTGCAGCAACGAGACGAGAAGCGCGATGAGCTCTTGAAAGCGATTTCCTCACATCTCCGAGAAACGCACCCTGAGCCCAGTCTTCGATGATATCAAGGATCTTGGTGAACTGTGAAAGCGGCCACGAGATTTCAGAGTAAGCTTTCGAAGCGCATGTCACTCGAGACGCGAGTCATCGCTAACCTGGCTGAAAATCAACACCTTGTGTCCTCCCTTGAACAGCCTTTCGAGGAGACGGTTGAGCATGAGCATCTTCCCAGACGCATTGATCAGACCATCGCTGATGATTTCGTGTCCATTCTCGTCCTTTGGCCAATCAACTTCGTACGGATGACAGCAAATTTGTCGGAGAAGCATGGCAGTATTGGACATTTTCATATCGTTGATGACGCGACCTGAAAGTAGAGGGCGCAACGCGTCAGGAAGATCCACATTGGCAACTTTGCATAGCTGGATGAGACCAGCATGCACTCACGAGCTTCTTGGATCGCGTGCAGCTTGCCTTGGTGCGCAACATCGGCCGGGTCGACGATAGGGTCGACCTGCTCCTCGTCGCTCGACTCCGCCTCGATTTTCTCGGCCCAAGCATCATCCGACAACCGATGCTCATCATACGTAATGTTCTTTTTCGCTCGTCTAGCTCTTCCCTTTCTATCTCCCGAGCCTTGCTCTTTCTGCGCTCGTCGTTTGCCCACAGATGTGCTCTCCTCCACTTCATCTTCGGATAAGGACTCGGAGCGAACAGCATATCCATCCTCGGGATTGCCGTACAGGGGCCCTTGAATGCTCTTGCCATCCTTGTCCAAGCTGGCCCATTTTCTACAATCAGGTCTGACCTTGACGATTTCGTCCCACGACATTCCCGTCTTCCTTTCCAAAAGTACCCTTCTTATGGTCCTGTCAGTAACGGCATCGTACAGCTGTTTCTGCTCAGCGGTGAGTGGCGCATACAACAGGTACTCCTTCTTTGGCGGCAAATTCTCCACGTCATCCTTTGTGCGTCTGAGCAAGAAGGGCTTCAAGATGGCGTGCAGCTGTTCCACCACATTCTTGCGGTAATCTTGCGTGAGAAAGGCGGACGACTCTCCGTCGTGCAATCCGTCAAAGTCAAACCAAGACTCGAATGTCGCCAGATCATCAAATATGTCTGGAAGGATAAAGTTGAGCAACGACCATAGCTCTCGGAGGTTGTTCTGTGCGCGTGGCAGCGCGACTTTCAGCTTGGCAATCCAGTTCACATACAGGAGCTCGACTTACATGAAGAGGAGTGCCTGTCAGCAGCAGTCTGTTGGCAGTCCTGTACTTTTTGAGCTCGGTGATGAGTCTGTCGCAGCAAATTGGCACAAGTGATGAGCAAGCGCAAGCCAGACGACTTCGCGATGGGGTCAAAAGCGGCCAACTCACTTTGACTCCATATTCTTTATGCGGTGACCCTCATCCACAACGAGGAACTTCCAATCATGTTGTGCCAATGCGACTCGATCAGCGATAGCGGCTTCGTAGCTCGTAATGACGACTGGAAATCTGCTCTTTTCCTGGACCGTGCCTGGCTTTCTGAGATGTTGAGATCGAAGCACCCGTCTCTCCTCCTTGCTCCCCATGTAGCACAAGCCCGGAATGCTCGGCGAGAACTTTTGGATCTCCCTGAGCCAATTTAGCGTGGTGGACTTGGGAGCCACGACGAGAAAAGGTCCCCAAACATTTTTGGATTTGAGGTAGGCAAAGAATGAGATGGTTTGCAATGTCTTTCCCAGACCCATTTCGTCGGCCAAGATGCCATTCAGGCCGTTTTCGTACAGGCTGACCATCCACTCTAAACCTGCAAGCTGATACTTTCTCATCGTAGCACCAGTGATCAGAGCAGGTTGTCTGCCCTTGACATCCTCTTCATCCTCGTCTTCCTGCTGAGCAGATTCTGTTTGCGCCTCTCCTTCAGACTTGACAACCACACCATTACCGTTTTCCGTCTTGCGCTTCTTTGACGCTTTCGCGTCGTCCGAGTCCGTCTTGGCAGCTGCTGCCGCCTTCACCACATCCTCATCAATGTAGTTGGACAGCTCATAGCCTTCTTTCTTACGTGGAGCATCGTTCCGGTTCCTCTTTGGCAGAGGCGCAGCTTTGTGTTGATCGCCGCCTCGGGTGGTTCTGCGCGCATCGCTTGCTCCATTGAGTCCACCTTCCCCGCGTTTCACATTCTCGCTAGAGTCAGCGTGGGACTTGCCCACATCCTTGCTCGAAGAAGCTTCGCTCCTCTTTTTCTTTTCAGCTGCCAAACGCTTTTCCCTCTCCTTGTCCATCTTTTGCTGCATAATCTTGGAGTATACACCGCTCTTTTGAAGCAAAAAGTTGAGCTTTTTGCGTCGAGCTTCCTCCTCCTGTGTAGTAGGATGAGCAAAAAGTCAGGCGGTGAGGTTTCTGACGCGAAGCCGAGCCTTTTCAACGCTTTCCCAGCCGCGCTCACCTTTGGGTCGACAGTCTGCTCTTTCGAAGCTCTAGGTCGACCCCTGCCAGCACTCTGTTCCGCGAACGACCTGCCTCCATTAGCAGCAGCGGCAGGTGAAGATGTGCGGGGTGGAGGTGTGTTCAGGCCATCATCTCCAGCTGCATCCGCAGCTTTGGCCAACTTGAGCGTATCGCTAGAGCCAGCTCTGGAGTTCGTCTTGGATGTCGACGCCGACATGATGGATGCGCGGATGAATGGTTATGCGCTCGAATAGCCAGCTGGCGGCAAGGTTGAGCTCGGGTAAGCGAGGCTCAGAGCCAATGCGAATGCTTGTACGAGATCTCTCGGTCGCAAGTCTTGCGTAGCAGAAGAGACTCGTACGAATCTGAATGGGTTGCGGACGGGTTCAGGGTGTACGACGGACGAAGGGGTAAAGATGCCCAGAGTCAGGTTGCAAAAGTCGATCAATCACGAAGCCTCTACCCAGACTCGCGTCGTCGTCATCATCATCGTGAGTTCATCGGCATGCATCCTTCACAGCTCAAAACTTCTCATCACGCGCGCCTCTCCTCCCTTCGCAGCCTCATCTCGCCGCTAGCCTCTGCTGCTGGGAGCGCGACTCATGTCAGCCACCATAGCTGTCACTCATCGTGACTGGCAGCGCGCCGTGCGCGATCAACGGACCAGCAGGCGTGCCCCAGCGAATCATCAGCAGGCAGGCAGCGCGACAACAGTCAACGCGTCTTTGGACCAGAATTTGCGGCCGATACTCGACGCGTAAATTGCTTTCTGATTTTGATTGATTGTGCGCGTGATGCCGGCGCGTGCCAAGCCTAGTCACGACGCGTCCGTCCTACGGGCGATCAATGACTGACGAGGAGAGAAGACGAACCAAGTGGGCCACACCATTTGAGCTCGAAAAAGCTCGCGAAAAGATGACATTTGTATTTCCGTCTATCCCCTGCTCTCCTCTGCATGGACGCAGCGAGCAATGGACCACAACGGCGTACGGGACGTACAAATCCCACGCTCAGCGTCGGATCACGAGTCATCAAAGAAGTTGTGAATGCGACGCATTCAGCCATAAAGGACCATCATCAGTATGGCTGCCTCAGGCTGACGAGTTGAGCATGCTGGTCGGGGATAGCTCGTCGGACTCTGCACACCTACGAACAAGTGCGCACAGACAGACAAGGGCTGAAGGCCAATTTCAGCGCACAGCAAACTTGGAAGGCGTTTCATTGCGAAAGGACAGTCTTGGGGGCGTGCGTATCGGATGCGTGTCTACGTGTAAAAGAAAGGCCGAGAGCGGCACACCTATCTCTCTCTAGCTGAACGAGGCGAGCTCCGCGCCCGGTCTGCCTTCGTCGCCAATCTTGTTGATGAATGCATCGACGCACTTGGCCATAGTGGGAGAAGATCTGGACACCGCGTCCGTCTGGTAAAAGTTTTGGATGGGATTGAGCAAAGGGGCGCCCGTAATCTTCTTGCCCTTCGCCTTCGCTTGCAGGTCCTTCAAACCCAAGAGCGCGGTGGCCGCACTGGTGGCTTCCCGTTGATCGTAACGCGTCAACGTGGGCGAAATGTCGAACATCCTGTCCCTCACGCTCAGGATATCATCGTACGGCAACGGGCTGCCTAGCACTTCCGAGAGAGCTCGGATGCACTTCCAGCCCTCTCGAGAAGCTCCGGGTGGTGGGACGGCAGCGCGGGTGATCTGGTTGCGTCCCTCCGTGTTGGTATAGGTCAGGCTGTGTTCCGTGTAGCATGATGACGGCAGGATGACGGAAGCATATTGCGCTCCCACATCTCCATGATGACCCTGGTATACAACAAAGGCATCCCTCGGAATCCTGTCCTCCGCATTGGCAAAGTCGTCGGCACCGAGCAAGTAGACAAACTTGGGCGATGTCTTGCTAGCCTGCTGGCTTGGGCTGTAGCCAACATCGAGGGAAGCGACACGCGAAGCTGTCCTTTGCAGAATGCCAAAGCCTGTATACTCTTCGCTCAAGTACCGCTTGTCTGCCTGCACCGCTTTTGCCACTTCAGAGAGCGCTGCTGCTCCGTCGACGTGCTCCAGGACACTACTTCCAATAACAATCATCGGCTTCTTGGCCTCCTTCAATCGCTTTCCGAAGTTGCCCTTGCCCGCGAGAACGTCAGCGATAGCGCTGGCGTCGCTGCCGACGTGCTCGTACTCGTAAGTTGTGTCGACCTTTTCTCCGATCAACCCAACATCGAGACCCTTGTGCAAATATGCTTTGCGGATTCTCGTGTTGATGATGGCGGCCTCGTGTCGAGGATTGGTGCCGATCAAGAGCAGAGCATCGGCTTCCTCGATACCAGCAATGGTGCTGTTGAACTGGTAGTTGGAGCGAACGTCAACGCCAGAGGCGGGTGGCAGTTGACCAGCTGGTAAATCTACGGTGACGTTCTCGCTGCCGAGCGAGTTAATCAGATCCTTCAAAGCGACGAGGCTCTCTGCGTCTGCGAGCGCACCAGCCACACCCTGAATCTCGTCTCCCTTGGCGCCGCTAGCGGCCAAGCCCTCGGCAACAGTGGCGAGAGCCTCTGGCCAAGACGCGGGGACGAAGCGGTCGCCCTGCTTGATGAGAGGAGTTGTCAATCGTTGATACTTGAGACCATCGACTGCGAATCTGGTCTTGTCGTTGATCCACTCCTCATTGACATCGTCATTGGTGCGGGGCAAGACACGCATGACCTGCACGCCACGAGAGTCGACGCGAATGTTGGAGCCGACGGCATCCAAAACGTCGATGCTTTCCGTCTTCTTCAGTTCCCAAGGTCTGGTAGTGAACGCGTATGGCTTGCTGGTGAGCGCGCCGACGGGGCACAGGTCGATGATGTTTCCGCTCATCTCAGAGTCGATGACCTTTTCGATGTAGGTGCCGATCTGCAAGTCATTGCCTCGTCCCGACGTCCCCATCTCCTGCACGCCAGCTACATCGTTGCTGAAACGAACACACCTGGTGCAGTGGATGCACCTGGTCATGATCGTCTTGACCAGGGGCCCCAGGTTCTTGTCCTCCACCGCGCGCTTTCCTGCAATCTCGTGAAAGCGTCCGCGATCGGATCCATAGCGCATCGACTGGTCCTGCAGGTCACACTCGCCACCCCAATCGCAGATGGGGCAGTCCAGTGGATGATTTGCCAATAAGAACTCCATCACGTTTGCTCGCGCCGTCTTTGTCTTTTCGTCCTCCTGCGATGTCAACGCATTTGAGATGAGCGTCTGCGCGTACCGGACGATAGGGCTCGGCCACGATACTTACTGTAAAGATCTTCATGCCTGGAGCCGCAGGCATAGCACAAGAAGCCACGGGCTTTGGTGCTCCTTGCGAGGTTACCAAGCACATTCCTGAGTGGCAACAAGGTGAGGAACGAGTCAGCTGGTTGAACAAGACGGACTGACTCGCAGCCCAGCGCACCAATGGATTGCACTCACGGCAATTACCAGCAATTTGAAGTCTCTCGTGGTAGCAAAATCGAGGAATCTGTGCTCCAGCCTTTTCACATGCTTGGATGAGAGCCGTTCTGACAATGACGAGGGAGAATCGAGAGTGGCAAGCATACATTTAGTTGACCGCGAATCTTCCAGTGCGGCTTTTGACATGTCCAACTCACCCTTGCTCGACTTCGACATCCCTACCATTGACTTGCAGCTTGATCATCTTCGGAGGCTCAGCGGGGGATGCCTGAGACAGCTTAGCCGAGGTCTGGAGGCACCTTCGAGATGCCATTCCCGAATTGGAAGCCAAGACGGATCGAGAAGAAGAGGCGGCGGAGCTGGTAGTGCTCGCCACTGCCGACGAGGCGGCGCGGAGTGGGGCCATGCGCATCATTGTGAGCTTCCCTTGCTGGCAAAAGTGCGATCAGAGTGGGAAGCACGTTGGAGTGACTAGTGTGAGAATGATAAGAGCGCCGTTGTGTCAAGGAAGAAGCACCATTCACCTCGACTTGCGCGACGTTGCAGCATCAAGCTGGAATATGGCTTGGCTTGGCTTGCCCTCACCCACCGCTCGCCCGCTTCTGTTGAGGGAAAGCCCGAGCGCGTGCGTTGCATGCGCCTGCGAATGAGCTGCTGTCAGGTCAGCCCTGAACAGGCGCGCCAATCAAGAGGCACACATTTCTACCTGCAGAGCGACAGACCACGTGGCGGCGCGTACGCTGGGCCAGGGTCTGCCTTCCTCACCATGAATCACGAATCCTGACTTGGTGTCAAGAAATAGACATGCGCTGCTACCGGCACATGCCACCATGCTGTCACAAGTCACGAGGGCTTTGCGCACCGCGACGTTCAAGTTGCAGGCCGCGGGCCAACTGATGGGTTAGCACGAGTCACGAATGGTGACGTGAAGAACAGCATTAAGCGGGCAACCACCTCTTTGCAGGCCTCTCACCGCGCTGCAATCTCCGTCTGTCCTATTCTCTCTCCCGGTTGGAAAGTCAGCATCGACTGCCTCTTGGCGCGCTGGCAAGTCAGCAGAGCGAGGAAGAGACAGAAAAAGGCGCAATGGACGTCGACTCTGTTGAGGCAACTACAGCACCCACAAGTCCTCTCGGGCCGACCAAGCGTGAATGCTATGTGCTACGCCAAACGCTACAAGGGCATACTCGTTCGGTCTCATCGCTGTCCATATCTCCGCATGGAATGCTGCTGGCAAGCTCCGGCTCCGATCGCACCATCAAGATCTGGAACCTTGCCAGTGGGAGCTTGAAGTTTACCCTGAAGGGGCACAAGCTGGGTGTCAATCAGGTGGCTTGGAGCGGCGATGGACGCTACGTTGCAAGCGCGAGCGATGACAGGACTGTCAGAGTGTGGGACTGCGATACGGTGAGTGCAGGACCTGCGCTTGTGATGCTCTAGTAGCATGTATGCGTCAGGCCCCTCACCCAATCACGCACACGTCCGCTTCAGGGCGCCCAGGTTCGCCTTCTGCAGGGGCACACATCGTACGTCTTTTGTCTGGCCTACAATCTTCAATGCAGTCTGATCGTCTCGGGATCTTTCGATGAGACTATTAGGCTTTGGGATGTCAAGCGCGGAATTTGTCACAAGACCATACCGGCACATTCAGAGGCGGTGACTGGTGTGGACTTTAATAGGGATGGTGACCTCATCGTAAGCTGTTCCTATGATGGTCTATTGTGAGTGCTCCCTACACTCGCAGCGGCAAATGGCGCATTCTCACTATATTCTCTTACTGGAATGGTGTGCGTAAAGACGCTTGTGGGACACTTCAACAGGAACGTGTCTAAAGACACTAGTGCATCGGGACAATGCTCCACTCTCTCACGTCAAGTTCACGCCATCATCTTCTCAAATCCTTGCCTCTTCGCTAGACAACACCATCCGTCTTTGGGACATTCCCAATTCTCGTGTGCTGAAGACGTACACGGGAAATGGCTATACGAATGGGAAATTTGCTTGCGCAGCAGATTTCACTGCACCTCGGGAGCTGCCCTCGCCGACATCGGTCGGAGGGCAAGGCATGGATGAAGATCCCAGAAAGCAAGAGATGAGGAAGAGGGGTCTGAAGCAAATATTCGTCGTCGCGGGAAGCGAGGACCAGAGAGTGTACGTGTGGGACTTGCAGTCCAAGAAAGTTGATCAGATTCTGGTCGGGCATAGAGACGTCGTCATTGCGATTGCTGTGAGTTGGTGGTGCTGTTCAGCAGCTGCACAAGGACCTAGAGTTGTCTGATACATACTTACAGCTCTTTCTATCCTAAGGCGCATCCCACGCTCGACATCATCGCCTCGGCAAGCATGGACCATGATCCCTCAATAAAGGTATGTGCTGCACACTCTTCACCTAGACTAGCATGCATCGCTCATGACCTGTGACAAAACTCCTTCACAAGATCTGGAGTCTCGATGACATCCCCATCAAGTCCGAGACGTAGTGAATAGAGGTTACCAATCTCTTTCCGTCTTAATACCAAGGCTGTCCAGGACACACCAAGCTTGCATTCGCGGTCTCTCTGGCTGGTGTCGGAGCGTCCGACCCCTACTCTTGCGCGCCGACTGTCGCCCGTAGCAGCAATTTGACGGTTCTCCGACATCTTCATCACAAAGAAAGATGTCAACACAAGTATGGCGAACCTCGATACCAGAAAGACTGGCCGGCACAACCAGGACTCGGGGCCCAGACACAGCAGGCACGTTACTGCACTTCATATACCCGCAGACCAGACGCTCTCTTCACGCGCCAAGCGAAGTTGCTTTAGCGCATGTGAATCAGAGGCAGAGGCTCATTGGGTCACAGCGGAGGGCAAAGACATGGAAGGGAAGATCAAAATGGATCATGAGGCTCAAAGAAACGCTCAAGTAGCTCCGTTGTGCCCTGCTCAGGCGACGCAGAGAGAACGCAAACCTCAGAGAGCTGCCGACATCATACATCAGAGTGTATGTGCGTGCACGGCCGAATTTCGTTAATCTCCTTCAAAAGATGTGTCTGTTCCTTGTGATGTAGTGATGAACGATGATGGATGGTCTGGACTCCAGACTTCCAGTTTGCTTAGCAGGTGCATGCCCTCTTTCCCCCGCACGTGATTATGGAGCCAAGATCAGACAAGCACGCCTTCAACACCGCGCTGCATGCGCGCGGAGCTCAAGCCATCGGTGCGTCGCTGACCGCGAAAGTCTCCGAGTCGCGCCAAAAGGCACCGTGCGCGCGCAGCAGGTTCAGCTGGCGTGTGCGTGCGCAAGTGCGAAGTGAGCGCTCGGAGCGTTTTTCGTTGACTTCATTTGTGATTTCCTTCACCTTGCAAAAGCGTTTGGCGGCTCGATGCCTCAACAGGCCGCATTGATTGCGAAAATGGAGAACCACAAGCGACGGACATCGGTGAGCCACTGGTGACTGACTGCATGTACCGGGTACGGGTACGGGTACGCTCTATGTAGGCAGCGGCCTCGTCTAGCTTGCATCTCCTTACCGGCGGTACCTTTCCTGCCCACTCACGACTTCATATTCATTCTGCCTTGCCGTCTGCTATACGCCCCGGCACCTGTACGTGTGAGTATCAGCTGTGAATACAGCGCACAAGCCGCTTCGACGTGCAGATGTCCGCTGCGCTGATCTCGCCGACATTTTGATTCGTTATGGTTACCAACCTTGTCTCGCAGCAAGGTACTGATTGCCCTTTCGCAAAGAAGCTCACTTGCCGACCGCCCGCGCTAGACCGTCAGCAATTGACTAGACACGCATCGTTTCCCGACATCCTCAGACTGCGCTTATTTGATTCAGCCCTTCACAACCAAATCGCGCGTGTCTCTAGCACTTTCTTTGGTATACTGAATCCACACATGATCCTTTCACTTGGGCCATACGGACGTCCTCCACTACCATCTCCAGGGCCATATTATACGTCGTCATCCATTCACTTTTGCACACACTGAGCCACAACGCGGCTTTACATCAACAGTCGGAAACGCTAAAGGCGTAGCGCTCATATCGCCACCCAACAACGGAACGATGAACCTCATCGATCTTGTGCTGCCTTTGAGCAAGCGCCATGGCGGGCATGGCGACGCTGACGAGCCATACGATCCGGACGAGCATGGGCCTAATGTGAGTCTTTTGCAACACACATTTCGAACAGCAGGTCGATACGAGTAAATATTTTTGCTGAAGAGGTCTCATGCTGCATTTTGTGCAAATATGGCAGAATCGACCGCCGTCTGCTGAGCGACTGGCAGCGATGCTTCACGCCGACAATTGGTACGAGATGCAAAAGTATGCCAATCGTGAGTGGTGTGATGCGTTGATCAAGCTTTGCTAGCTACGCATACACGACGCGCACGTCTCCAGCTCACCCTTTCTGATGCCCGCCCATCGCTCTCAGGCGTGACATGGCTCATGCTGGCCATCCTAATCCTGGTCACCGTCGGTCCGGGCTTGCTACATCGCTTGCGAGTCCATCGACCCAAGCTGGCCGCCTCTCTCCAACGAAGGCTGCCGTTCTATTTCACACTCGTCTCCTTGGGAAGATCAGTTGGCTACCTACAAAAGGGCCGCATCCTGCCCGGCTTTAGGTTGCCTGCTCTTGGAGCTTCGATTGCCATCGCACTCTTCTGCGCTGCCATCTTTGGTTGGACAATGGGCGTCCGGCCTTACTATAGGAAGACTCGAGAGTGGGGCTCCCCGCCGCTTGCTATCAGAGCTGGTATGCTCGCCAATGCCATGATCCCTTTTCTACTCGCACTCGCGACCAAGGTCAACGTCATCTCCATCCTTACCGCAGTATCGCACGAGAGACTTCAGGTGCGTGGTATGGACAACTAATGCTGCCGAAAGCACAATTTGCTCAGCATCCTTGTGTGCACCATCGGTTTACGAATTAGGTATACCATCAATGGCTTGCTAGGCTGATTCTCAGCCTCAGCTTGATACACACCATTCCATTCATTTGGCAACCACTCACTGAAGGTGGCAGCTCCAATCTCTGGGCTTGGTGGAAGAGCGGTGAGCAACTTGTAATCGTCTCGATCGCGTCTTGCCGCGAGAGGCACTGCGGAGCTGAGACCTCTCACCTTCTTCGCTCTCCATAGACTACGTCACTTACTGGAATGGCACCGTAGCCCTCTCTTTGATGATCTGGATGGTGCTGAGCTCCACTCGAGTGTTCCGAAACATGAGCTACGAATTCTTTGTGATTGTGAGTACCGGCTATCCTACTGTCAAAGAGCTGTGGCACCGACTGAACACCTTTGTACTGTTTGGCGAACAGCAACACATCGTGTCAACTCTGCTCTTCATTGGCTTCTACTTTTTCCACACCGACAACACGCTCAACAGCTGGATCTGGCTCTGGGCTGCAGTAGGCGTCTGGGGCTTCGCTACGCTGATCAAATGGGCACGCAGCGCTACTGCTAGCAGGTACTTCGTAGGGGCGAAAGCGAGCGTGGAAGTGTCTGGACAAGAATTGGTTGCGGGTGAAGAAGTGCTCAGGATTGCGCTCAAGACGAACGTCAGATGGTGGCCGTGCGTACCGTTGTGAACCTGGGGATGAGATGCTACACCGAGTGCTGATGTGCCGCGCTTCGCGTTGCCGACAGAGGAGCGCACGTCTTCATCCGCTTTCCGACGCTTGCGCCCTTGCAAAGCCACCCATTCACGATTGTGAACCTGCCACAGCCGGATAATCACTGCGATTCGGAATTAGTGTTGGTGGCTAGAGTGCACGACGGGATCACCCGGAAGCTGCTGAAGCACGCCAGGTCCAAAGCCGCAGGCGTGGAAGCTGAAGATGACATCGAGTCGGGAAGTATCTACATGACGAAGCAACAGTCGAGCCATCCTTTGCGAGCTGTACCGGAAAGTTCGGAAGCGTATGCTTTGGACAGTGGCGACGCACCGCTGCTCCCTACTCGAGCATGTATGGTGCCTGCCATCATTGACGGTCCCTATGGTAGAAGTTCCGCCTCCCTGCAAGCTTTCGACCACGTCTTGATTCTCGCTGGTGGCGTCGGAATTACATTCGCCACCAGCGCGTGCATGCATCTGGCCATGGCCAACGCTGATCGCATCCAAACGCGAAGCGTCCACTTGGTTTGGAGCGTCCGCAGCCGAGGTGAGTCCGTGTTATTGTCTCAGCTCAAGCAATACTGATTGCAACGTATCCTGACGCCGTTTCTTGCTCTTGAATGGAACTAATGATCCTGGCTGCGTTTTCTTAAGCCTCGCTCGCATGGTTTCAACCTTACCTAGACGCCATCTCGGAGCGATTTTCCGCGTCCAAGGTCGCCTATACGTTCACTCTGCACATCACACGCGAGTGCATTTCCGCCTCTGATGCTGTATCTCGATCCGACTCGGCGCCCGAAGCAGATTCCGGTGCGGAAAAGTGGACGGCTTATCGAGGAGCTGCTAGAGAAAGACCTGCAAGTCTTGAACGACCTCACGTACCCAGCATCATTCGAGATGCAGCGCAACATGCGGCAAGCTCCTCCGTTCGAAGCTTGGCTGTTGTGGTATGCGGACCTGCTGGAATGAGCGATGCCGCTGCTAACGCTACAGCTCGTTTGCAACACGACCGAAAAGGATTGGACGAGATCTGGCTGGTGAGTCAGAAGTGTAAAGTACCTGCCGCCACACTCGCTAGATTTGAGAGACATTGCCCTGCGTTGAATGACTCTGAA